GTCGGGCCCTCGGCATAAACCTCCCCTCCCCCCGGGCCCCCGCGCGCAGACTGCAGGTCCGGACCCGTTCCCGACCCCCCCCCGCGGGGCCAGAGGGCCAGACCCCGTCGGAGGTGCAGAGCCCCTTCACCAGGGCCAGTTCTGCTCGGGGGCGGCAGAGAGGGGGTGATGACCAGGGGAGGATCATCATGGCGGAGGCCAGGATGTCTCCCCAGATTTCACGGCGCCTCTTCTTCCTTTATTGCGTCCCCGGCCCCCCTCCCTTGGGCCGCGCACGTGCCGCCGGCAGTGCTTTGCGCCCCCCCCCCTTGGGCGCCCCCCTCTCGGCCGCCCCCCGAGCCCGAGGTCCGGACCCCCTCCCCCAGAGCCAGCCCTTTTTGCCCCAGATCAGTGTGTTTTGCCCTGGGGCCCGACAGCGGGCGCAGGAGGCCAGAGTCCGGGCACCCCGCCCGCACTGAAAACAGCTGTAGCGGCGGAGTACCATATTTTGATGTTTTGTATGTTTGAGCATTTGCTGTGCAGTTGACTCATTTGTCTTCCAACGCCCGCCTGTAGGGGGACACGCGCGACCTAATCTCAAGCCCGTATCTTCTTCGGTGGGCGTGTACACATGTCGCCCCTGCGGCGGCACGAGAACAGAGCAAGTGCACGAATGGCACACTATTGCGGACCATGCGATGGCAAACACAAGCACGTGTACGACAACCGAAATCCCGTTCGCTCGGGACCATACAGGCGGCCGTGGTCGGCGTTTTTTTTGGGGGCCCCAAGCCCTTGTGTTCCCTGCGTTTGCCCCTCCGAACAGCGGCGACGTCGACAAATCAGACACGATCTCACGCGTGCATGCGGCGATGGTTCCGCGACGCCCTGGTTCCGCAACGCCCTTGCATTCATGAGCGCGCAGCACGCACGCCTATACCCAGATGAGGGGACGGAGGGGGCTGCGCATGCGTGGTGTCGGACGCGGGGCGCCGCTCAAACGGGGGCCTCCACCGTGGTCCGACCACCCGCTCCCATGCCTATTGCCAGTCCTCCCTTCAGACCTGACGTTGTGAAAAATTACAAGCCCGCAGAAATCACCACTTGAGCCCCGAACCCCCTCTTGCTGCTTTATTCCTCGAGCCAGGTCGATCTATGAGGACCCTTGTGCCCGAGACCGTGCGACACAAACGCCCGCTGTGCCAAACGTGCAGCGCCAGGACCTCCTGGGTCCCTCCTCCGACCCTCCCATTGGGTATGGTATGGCTGTGTGTTGCCCGTCGCCTGGGTGTGCGCACGGCCTGGGCCGATCCCATGGCACCCCCGCTCTCTTCCTGCGGGGCCGGCCGCGCGCGCGCTCTTCTCGCTCGGGGACTCTTCGCGGCCGCGCGCGCGAAGCCGCAACCGCCAAAAAGCGTGTACTGCCCGCCCGCCCAAACTCGGACGACCGCTCGGCGGCGACCTGGGGGGGGGAAAGTGGGATGGGGCGGGCCTGTTCAGAAGGCTCGGGAGTCCCCCAGCCTTCCGAGAAGTCTCCTTAAGTCCTGCCCCAGAGTCGCAGAAAACCTTTTAGACGCCCGGAGGGCTTATGAGAAGCCCCGCCGCATTCTGAGCAGGCCTGCTCTTTGCCGCTCCCCCCCCCCCCGGGGCGCGCCGCCGAGTATCGGTCAAGCTCGGGTCCCAGACCCCTCCGGGGTCCATCCAACGCGGTTCCTCACCCCAGATCGAGTGTCGGGGGCCACGAGGCCCGCACAGCGCCCCCAGAGGCCGAAAACTATGAAAAAAACGCGCCTCGGACCTCGAGCCTCGAAGTTTGATGTTTTCCTTTCTCCCCCCCTCTCATCGCGCCAACATCGCAGAGCGGAATTCGTTTGGAAAATGATAGGATGGGCCCGGGGTGTCCTGGGCAATCTCGTTCCGGATATCGAGGTGAATTTCGCGCGGATTCTGTTTCGCCAGGAACGCAGACCAAAAAGAATCCACGCGAAATTCAGCTCGTTTTTCGCGTTCGCCGCTTCGGGCAAAAACCCACGCAGAAATCCGCGCAGATATCCGCTGCACCACGTCCGCAAGGCCGGTGCAATGACCCTTCGCTCGCCGCCGAGCCGCTGCTCCCTGCCCCAGCACGGCCCCGCAGGTCCGGCTCCTCGGCCCCGTGCCCGCCGGGCGGGCGGTGCGCCGCCCCGCCCGCCGCTTTCCGAGATCACCCTGCGCCGCGCCCCGCCTCGTCATCGTCCTCGTCATCATCGTCCTCGGCATCTTCCTCGCCACCATCATCAGCATCATCATCACCATCATCACCACCATCATCAACATCAGGATCACCATCATAATCATCACCAGCATCGTCATCATCATCATTACCATCACCACCATCGTCACCATCAACATCGTCACCACCAGCATCATCAACAGCATCAACAGCATCGTCATCATCATCATCATCATCATCATCATCATCAGTATCAGTATCATCATCATCATCATCATCATCATCATCATCATCATCATCATCATCATCATCATCATCATCATCATTATCATGATCATCATCATCATCATCATCATCATCATCATCGCCATCGTCATCATCATCGTCAGCAGCATCATCGTTATCATCATCATATCAGATCATCATCACCACCTCATCATCATTTTCCACAACATTAATGTTATTATGATCATCCTCACCCTTATCATCACCACCATCATCACCACCATCATCATCACCACCATCATCATCACCACCATCATCTTACCATCAGCGAGGAAGCCAAACGAAGGGGGACAGACGAATGTCGGCAGTCTCAGCTGGCACAGCTTGCCCCCTTCGTCCTCCCTTGGAGGGGGACGAGGCGGCGGGAGGAGGAGACGATACAGGTGCATGCAGAGGGGTGCGGGACGAGGAGCGAGAGGGGGAATGGGGAGGAAGGGGGGGTTTGAAGGATGACGACGAGGGGGGTAGGGGCAGGAGGGCGGGGAGGACGAGGAGACGGTGCGGGACGAGGGGAGAGGACGAGGAGGATACCCAGGGACACCGTGACGACCTGCAGTTCCCCCCCCCCTGGGCTCCACGCGGCCGCACCCGCCTCCCCGCCTCCGCCCGGCCCACGGCGGGCGCCTGCCGCCTCGGGCCATCGGCCCGAGATGTCGGCGAGCATGCCAGGGTCTCGCTGCGCGGCCGCAGGTGCGCCCTGGAGCAGTGGCGAAGCGCCCTGGCCCGCCTAGCCAGAGGAAGCAATCTCAGAACCCCCCCTCCCCTGGGTCATCAACAGCACCGAGAGGCAGATGGACAATCCGCGGGGGCGGGGTTCGCGGAGCGATATCGTGAGCACCGCACCGCGCCGCAAACATAGATCAGTATTCCCCGCACCCCCCCCCCGCGACCCATGTCTATAACTAGTAAACATCGACGGTAAGAACGCAAGAGCCTTGAACGCCGAAGATGGCGAAATGCCAACACCCGAGGGCCTGGACAGTGAACACGTCCTGGCCTCCCTCCTCCTCCTTTCCCCTTTGTCCTCGCCGCCTCTTTCGTACGCGATTCCGATTGCAATCCCCAAAGAGAAATTGATATTCATCGGCCGTCCTAGGGGGCGGTCCATCCCAGGGTACCGCACCTGCTCTGCACGGGGCGTTAGTTTAGCACTGGGGAGCGCTGGACATAATCAATTCCCGCCTGCGGGGAGAAGAACTGGAAATTGTAGTAGAAATACTGGGTAGCGACCATAGTCGTAGTTTTAGTAGTAGTAGTAGTCGTAGTAGTAGTAGTAGTAGTAGTAGTAGTAGTAGTAGTAGTAGTAGTAGTAGTAGTAGTAATAGTAGTAGTAGTAGTAGTAGTAGTAGTAGTAGTAGTAGTAGTAGTAGTAGTAGTAGTAGTAGTAGTAGTAGTAGTAGTAGTAGTAGTAGTAGTAGTAGTAGTAGTAGTAGTAGTAGTAGTAGTAGTAGTAGTAGTAGTAGTAGTAGTAGTAGTAGTAGTAGGAGTAGTAGTCGCAGCAGTAGTAGTAGTAGTAGTAGTAGTAGTAGTAGTAATAGTAGTATAGTAGCAGTAGTAGTAGTAGTAGTAGTAGTAGTAGTAGTAGTAGTAGTAGTAGTAGTCGCAGTAGTAGTAGTAGTAGTAGTAGTAGTAGTAGCCGTAACCGTAGCAGTAGTAGTAGCAGTAGTAGTAGCAGTAGTAGTCGTAGTAGTAGTAGTAGTAGTAGCAGAAGCAGCAGTTGTAGTCGTAGTAGCCGTAGTAGCACCAGTAGTAGTAGTAGTAGTAGTAGTAGTAGTAGTAGTAGCAATAGTAGTATTTGTAGTCGTAGTAGTAGTAGTCGTAGTAGTAGTATCAGTAGGAGGAGTAGTACTAGTAGTACTAGTAGTACTAGTAGTACTAGTAGTAGTAGTAGTAGTAGTAGTAGTAGTAGTCGTAGTAGTAGTAGTAGTAGTAGTAGTGGTAGTAGTAGTAGTAGTAGTAGTAGCAGCCGTAGCAGTAGCAGTAGCAGTAGTAGTAGTAGTAGTCGTAGTAGTAGTCGTAGTCTTAGTTGGTGTAGTTGTAGTTGTAGCCGCAATAGTGTTACTAAGAGCAGTAGTCGCCGTCGTAGTAGTAGCCGTAGTAGTAGCAGTCGTACTAGTAGTGGTTGTGGTATTAATAGTAGTAGTGGTGGTAGTAGGAGTTGTAATGGTCGCAGTCTTAGTAGACGTAGCAAACTCAGCTAGTAGTAGCAGTAGTAGTAGTAGCAGTGGTAGTAGTATTCGTAGTAGCCGTAGTAGGGTTTGAATTGTTACTAAAAGTGATACTCGCAGTCGCAGTTGTAGTCGTAGTAGTAGTAGTAGTAGTAGTAGCAGTAGTCGTAGTCTCAGAACGGTAGCAGTTGTAGTTCTAGCATTGGAAGTAGCAGTCGGAGTATTACTACCAATAGGAACAGTAGCCGTAGTAGTAGCAGTAAGAGTTGTAGTAGCAGTAGTAGTAGTAGTAGTAGTAGTAGGAGTAGCAGTAGTAGTAGTAGTAGTAGTAGTAGTAGTAGTAGTAGGAGTCGTAGTAGCAGTAGTAGTAGTAGTAGTAGTAGTAGTAGTAGTAGTAGTAGTAGTAGAAGCAGTAGTAGTAGTAGTAGTAGTAGTAGTAGTAGTAGTAGTAGTGGTAGTGGTGGTAGTAGTGGTAATCGTAGAAGTAGTCGTAGAAGTATTGGTGGTAGCCGTAGCAGTCGTAGTCGCAGTAGTAGTAATAGAAGCATCAGTGTCGTAGTGGTTTTAGTGATAATCGGTGTCGTAGTCCTAGCTGGCGTAGTGGTAGTAGCAGTAGTTGTGGTACTCGCACTGGGACAGGGGTTAGTAGTAGTCGTAGCCGTGGTAGTAGCATTCGTAGAATTGATGGTATCAGTAGTAGTAGTGGTAGTAGTAGTAGTAGTAGTAGTAGCATCAGTCGTAGTAGTAGTAGTAGTAGTAGTAGTAGTAGTAGTAGTCATCGTCGTAGCAGTAACAGTATTCATGGTAGTAGTAGTAGTCGTAGTAGTAGCAGTAGCTAGTAGTCGCCATAGTAGTGGTAGCGGTAAGAGTAGTAGTCGTAGTCGAATGAGTAGTAGTAGTAGTAGTAGTAGTAGTAGTAGTAGTAGTAGTATCAGTCGTCGTCGTCGTCGTCGTCGCATGAGTAGTAGGAGTCGCTGGGGGAGCAGTAGGACTCGTAGTCGGTGTTGTAGTTCTCGTATTAGTCGTAGTGGTAGTCGTCGTAGTCGTAGTAGTAGTAGTAGTAGTAGTCGTAGTAGTCGTAGTGGCAGTAGTATCTGTAGTAGTCTCTGTCGCCGTAGTAGCCGTAGTCATAGTAGTAGTAGTAGTAGTAGTAGTAGTAGTAGTAGTAGTCGTAGTAGTAGTAGTAGTAGTAGTAGTAGTAGTAGTCGTAGTCGTAGTAGTACTTGTAGTGGTATTAGTTCTAGGTCTAGTACTAGTAGTAGCACAGGGAGTAGTAGTATTAGTCGTGGTAGTAGTAGTAGTAGTTGTAGCAGTAGTAGTAGTAGTAGTAGTGGTAGTGGTAGTAGTAGTAGTAGCAGTAGTAGGCCGCTTTTAGCTATCGTAACCTTAGTAGTCGTAGCCGTAGCCATTGGAGCAGAAGTAGTGCCCGTCGTCGTTGTAGTAGTAGTGATGACATCAGTAGTAGTAACGCGAACCTACTCCTTGTAGTAGTTGCCGCAGTAGCTGTCGCAGTCGTAGCCGAACGCATGGTGATACAAGCACTCGTGGTGGTAGTAGTAGTAGTAGTAGTAGTAGTAGTAGTAGTAGTAGTAGTAGTAGTAGTAGTGGTAGCAGTAGTAGCAGTAGTCGCAGTAGTAGTCGTAGTAGTAGTCGTAGTAGTAGTACAAACCATATTAGAAGTAAGAGTGGTAATAATAGTTGTCGTTGTCGTAGTAGTAGTAGCAGCAATTGCACAAGAAACAATGTTGGTAGTAGTAGTCGTAGTACGTGTAGCAGCCGCCGTAGTCGTAGTCGCAGGCGTAGTCCTCGTCGTAGTCGCAGTCGTAGTCGTAGCAGCAGAAGGCGTAATCGTAGAAGTCGCAGCCGCATGCGTAGTCGTAGTCGTTCTCGTATTCGCAGCTGCCGCAGTAGCAATCGTAGTAGAAGCCGTAGTTGCAGTTGTAGTCTTATTATTAGCAGAAGATGTGCCAGTAGTACTAAAAGTAGAAGTAGTGCAGTAGTAGTCGTAGTAATAGTAGTAATAGTAGTAGTAGTAGTAGTAGTAGTAGTAGTAGTAGTAGTGGTAGTGGTAGTAGTAGTAGTCGTAGTAATAGTAGTAGTAGTAGTAGTAGTAGTAGTACTAGTACTAGTAGTAGTAGTAGTAGTAGTCTTCGTAGTAGTAGTAGTAGTAGTAGTAGTAGTCGTAGTAGTAGTAGTAGTAGTAGTAGTAGTGGTGGTCTGAGCCGTATTCATACTCGTCGCAGCCGTGGTCGTGGTAGTAGAAGTAGACGTGGAAGTAGTAGTAGTAGCAGCCGTAGCAGTAGTAGTAGTAGTAGTAGTAGTAGTCGTCGTCGCAATAGTAGTTGTAGTCGTAGTAGTACTAGTTTTCGTGGTAGTGGTAGTAGTAATAGTCGTGGTAGTGGTAGTAGTGGTAGTAGTAGTAGTAGTAGTAGTAGCAGCAGCAGCAGTAGTAGTAGTAGTAGTAGGAGTTGTAGTAGTAGTAGTAGTAGTCGTAGTAGTAGTAGTAGTAGTAGCAGTAGAAGCAGTAGTAGTAGTAGTAGTCGCCCTTCTTGAGAATCGTAGCCGTAGCAGTAGTAGTGAGAACAGTAGTGGAAATTGTCGTACACGTAGTAGCCGCAGCAGTAGAAGCAGTAGTAGTAGTAGTCGTCGTAGTCGTATTAATAGTTGTAGTGAAAAAGTAGTAGCAGCAGCAGTGCGAGTAAGAGGCGTAGTATTTGTTATGTGTAGTAGTCGTAGCCGCAGTAGTTGTAGTCGTAGTCGTAGTCGTAGAAGTAGTAGTAGCAGTAGTAGAAATAGTAGCCGTAGTAGTAGCAGTAGTCGTAGCAGTCGTAGTAGTAGAAGTAGAAGTAGAAGAAAACGTAGTAGTAGTAGTAGTGGTAGTAGTAGTAGTAGTAGTAGTAGTAGTGATGGTGGTAGTCGTAGTAGGAGTAAGAGTAAGAGTTTTAGTAGTAGCAGGTGTTGTTGTTGTAGTAGTAGTAGAAGTAGTAGTAGTAGTAGTAGTAGTAGTCGTCGTCGTCGTAGTAGTAGTAGTAGTAGTAGTAGTCGTAGTAGTAGTCGTAGTAGTAGTAGTCGCCGTAGCAGTAGTAGTAGTAGTAGTAGTAGTAGTAGTAGTAGTAGTAGTAGTAGTAGTAGTAGTAATAGTAGTAGTAGTAGTAGTAGTAGGAGTCCTCGTGGTGGTAGTAGCAGTAGTAGTAGTAGAAGTAGTAGTAGTAATCGTAATAGTAGTAGTAGTAGCAGTAGTAGTAGTAGTTGTAGTAGTAGTAGTAGTCGTAGTAGTAGTAGTAGTAGTAGTAGTAGTAGTAGTAGTCGTGGTAGTAGTAGTAGTAGTAGTAGTAGTAGTAGTAGTGGTAGTAGTAGTAGTAGTAGTTGTAGCAAGCTGCTTGACCAAGTTCATTTCCCGTCCGCAATATACCTTTGCAGATATTTCATCGTAGGACTAGTAGTACTTCTCCTCGTCCTTCTCATCCTGTTCCTCCTCCTCCTCATCCTCTTTCATCTCCTTCTCCTCCTTTTTATCCCATCCACTTTCGAGGCCTGCTGGGGGCTCCAGAGGAGTGCGCAGACACGGCCAAGTGCCAGGGTACCAGGGAAACGCTTCTTTGTGCTGGATGCGTTATCGTTTCACCGGACGGGGGGGGTCTTAACAGTATGAGGCTGTAGGCTCACCAAAGAATGTTCAGACAACCTGCTGTGGTCTGCGCGAGGTGTTCTTCGAACACTCCTGGTTGAGACTGCGCTGTGTTAATTCATTGGGTATATGTGCTACGAACAGTGTTTCTGTTGTTCGTGGAGCCTTTTTGTGGCCCTTCGAACACTTCGCGGTAGGCCTGCAGGAATGCCAGGACGGTCCGTCCCTGCTCAAATGTCAGCATCTCGGCGCTCGGGCCGCAGGCGCGCTCTGCGCGCCAGCCTCCCGCTCGGCGCGTCGGCGGCCGCCTCCCCGTCTCCCACCACCGCCTGGACCGCCTCGTGCTGCAGTCGCCTCCGACGGGAGGCTCGGCGCCTCGTGCACCGCCACGTCCGCGAGGCTGGGCCACGTCCACCGCCGACGCGGACGCGGTCACCGCTGCCAGCGGTGCGCCGAGCTCGGCTCTCACGGGCCACTCCGCAGCTCGTAGAGGCCGAGCGCCTTCACGAGGGTGCCGTGCGGCGAGGCCGCCGGCAGCATGCACGGCCACGGGAGCACCGCGCTGCGGCCTCGAGGGCGTCGCGGCTCCGCTAAAATCGAACTCGTGATCGACACAGCGGCAGCATGCCCACAGTCGGAGCCCGACACGAGTTGGGTCCAGATGGTCAGCAGGGGGAGCAGGACCGGGAGCGAGAGACGGCGGAGGAGGAGGGGGGGGGAGAGGACCCGTCGGACGAGGTGCACCATCACATGGGTAGGAAGAGCGAGAGGATGATGTTTCAGAAGGATAAAGATGGAAACGAGGAAGGATCTGTCTGGGAATGTTGTTTTTGCGTTGGATATAAATGGTGGCTTAATCAAAGAAGTAGTGTTAGGTACAAAAAAAAGGTGGGTAAACGTGTTGATTGCACGGGAAAGAGTTGTTGCTTCGTGTCGCTACGCAGATTGTGGCCCACCACACCGTGGCGGGACACGCGAACCACGCCCCACCTGCCGAGCGGCAGAGGCCCGAGCCTTTCCCGGGCCTCCGCCCAGTGGAGCGGAGCGACAACGCTACCTTCCTGCAAGGCACCGCGTGTCGCCTGAGCCGCCGCCGCGACGCCCTACGCAAACCAAAGTTCCCGACCGTAACGGGCGAGGTGGGGAAACATGAGGTAAGGTTGATGAGGGCAGGTCGAGGAATTTCTAAGAGATTGAGGAGTTTGAGGAGAAGGACCGCGGAAGAAGCCGAATGAGGAGGATCATGCGGTTCAGGGAGCAATTTGTGGTTTCTTCTGTTGTGGAAACTGGCGTGCATCCACCGGCCGCGCTGTGCTATCCAGCCCCCCCTTCGGTTTTTCCGTGTGAAGAGGATGAGGAACACCAGGATAATGAGGAGTTAGAGGATGATGATGATGATGAGGAGGAGGAGGAGGAGGAGGAGGAGGAGGAGAACAGGAGGTTCAGGACCAGGAGGACGACGACAACAAGCAGCACAAAGAGGAATACGGGACTTCGAGGAGGAGCCCCCAGGGGTCTCCAGGGAAGTCGTCTCCACGGGCGTCCCTGGATTCCCAGAAACAAAGCCAAGCGTTCCCAATTTCGACCCGCGTTCTTCGATCCTCCATCCATCGACCACGACAGCAACAGCGACGGCGACAGCGACGACGACGGCGGCGGCGGTTGCGGCTGCGGCTGCGGAGAAGGAGAAGGAGGCCCCCCATTCGCCCGCAGCTTCCGCCGGGGCAGAGGGCAAAGGGCAGCGTCGCGCCAGGAGGTTCCCAGAGCGCCAGCCGCCGTTAGGGAGGAGGGGGAGAGGATGTAGGGGGGGGGAGGGGAGGGAGAGAGGGAAGGGGGAGCAGGGAGAGGATGCGAGAGAGGAGCACGGAGAGGAGGAGGAGGAGGAGCGGGGAGGAGGAAGAGACAGAAGGGCAGCTGATCACGACGACGACGGCGACGGCGACGGCGACGTCGACGGCGATGACGACGGCGGCGACGGCGGCGGCTACGGCGACAACGACGACGATGACGACGACAATGGCGACGACGCTGAAAACGGTGTCCAGCGGCGGCGGCGACGCCGCCGAGGTGCTCTCCGTGAACGGCCGCGTGCACGGCCCGTTCAAGCCTGCGGCTCCCCGCCGCTGCCCCGACGCGCCTCGGTCGACGTCGACGAAGGCGTCGAGCGGAGGCCGATCGGGACAGAGGAGGGGGAAGAGAGGAGGAGGAGCAGGAGGAGGAGGAGGAGGAGGAGGAGGAGGAGGAGGAGGAGGAGGAGGACCGGACGGTCCTGGAAGGAGGAAGGGAGAGGAGAGTGGTCCCGCAGCCGTCCTCCAGCTGCGCCGCTGGGCTCTCGCCAGCGCGCGCACGAAGTGCGCCGCCTGCGCTATGGCCCTGGCCGGGGGGCTCAATCGGGGGCAGGAGCCGAGAGAACCCCGAAGAGCGCAGCCCATCCCTCGTCGTCGTCGTCGGCGGTGGCGGCGGCGGCGGTGCCGCGTCGTCGTCCTCGTCGTCGTCGTCGTCCTCGTCGTCGTCGTGACGGGCCGCTCAGCTTCTGGCCAGCGAATGGGAGATGGGCGGCTCAGCCCCGTAGGGCTCTGGTCGCCGCTCATGCCGCCGCGGCCCCCTCCGCCGCGCGCGTGCACGGCTCCCTCGGGCTCCTTCCGCAGCTGGGCGAGAAAGCCGTTCTCGGGGCCCATGCTAGATGCCCGGTTTGGGGGGCATGCTAGATACCCGGTTTGGGGGGCCTTCCTGGGGCCCACCTAACGGACCTGTTTGGCTCTACTTCGACCCCAGTCCGACTCAAAGTCGATCCAGGTTCGACACCAGGTCGACTCAAATCGACCGACGCTCGACGCAGCTTCGACGCACGAGTGGAGCAAGTGTCTCCAGGAAGGCCCCCAGTATGCACATCCAGCCCATGTGCCTGCGAACGTGCTGCTCGACCTTCTCCTTCTGCGCGATGTTTTGCTGACTCCACTCTCGCTCAGATTGCCGCGCATCACGCTGGGCCTGCCGTATCCTCGCCCGCCTGCGCGCCGATTTGCTCGCGGGCGCCTTGACGGCCTCGGGGCGGCTGGCCTGCAAGAACTCGGCCGACCGGGGGAGCTTCTCGACGGGCTCCTCCGACTCGGCCTCCATGCCCAGTACAAGGGCGGAGACCTCCGAATTACCTTGCACCTGTCGGGGACCTCGCCTGTCCCCAGACCTGCTGTCCTTTCTCGTGCCCGACGCGGGCTCGATGCGTACTCGACGCGGATCTGGCGTGGCTTCGACACGGATTCGACACGGATCCGACGAGTCCGACATGTATTCGACATGGATTCGGCGAGGATCGGGCCGCGACGGGACAGACAAGGCCACCGATCGGGGGGGGGACAGAACCCCCACCCTGACATGTCGATTAGTGGATTGTCCGTTTTCGGTTCTCGAGAGGGCGCCGCGGCCGTCGTTTTCCAGGCTCGTGCCCGCCAGGTTGGGGCCCGAGGTCATTTTCACTATCCATCCCCGACCCGAGGAGGCAACATGAGCCCTCAAGACCTCTCCTGGGTGCGTTCTGACCAGGATTTTTCGACGCGAACCCAGCGGTGGCGGCGAGGGCCCCCCGGGAGGTCCCCAAAGGGGGACATCGAGGGCAGGGTAGCAGTATGGGCAGCTTGCTCTCCTCTGAGGGGGGGAAACGGCGTGGGGGAACGAGCGCGAGGTGCCCTGCGATGCCCAGCACCAGTGCGGAGACCTCCGAAGGGCGGCCGCTCGCCGCGGCCACCTCGAGCTCGTGCGTCCCGCTCCCCCCGCTTCCCCAGAGGGGGGCTCCGCCGCCGTGAGCCCTCCTGCGCTCACCGCGGGCCTCGCGTCGGCGCGGAAGCCGTGAGCGTCGTCCTCGAGCTCGCTCCTGGCCGAGAGCGCGGCAACGTCCAGCTCAGGGGGGCAAAGGTACCCATACCGCTGCACTTCTCCTTTTTTCCCCTTTCTCGGCCCCCTGGGGAGGGCCTCGTCGCCAACGCTGGATTCGCATCGAAATTCTGGTCAGAACGCACCCCGGGGGAGGTCCAGATAATAGCGGTATCGGTGCCTTCTGGTTGGCCCACCAGCGCATCCTTCTTCTCGTCGAAGCCGCCCCCGTACTCGACCGACTCGGTAATCGGCAGGCTGGTGACAGGCGCCGACCCCGACACCACAGACCCTGACTCTGGCTGCAAGCGCAGACCCCCGGAGTGAACGGCCTCCACCTCGTCGACCAGCTCCGCATGCTGGATCGGGTCGTAGCTCTGCACCTCAGGCGCAAAGAGCGCCTCGGTCATCCGGACGGCGCCACTGACGATGACGATATGGCGCTCCTCGTAGTCAGAGGCCCAGACTGCGGCGTGTCCAGGGCGGGATTCTTGATGCACCAGGCCATGGGGTGCACGATGCCTGGCCCAGTTGCCCGCGAGCATCGCCTCTTCCGTGTCGACAGCGACGTCCTGGTCGTTCAGCCGCGCCGCCGCCGCCACCTCCCCAAAGGGTGAGCAGTGGCAGCCCAGTCGGTCGCTCAGACGCCAGTGCTCCGTAATCGAGCAGCGTGGGAACTCTATTCGCAGGGCGCACGGCCCAGCTCAGCCCGCCGCCGTCGGCGGAGCCGCCGAGCCTGCGTCCGTGCGCTGGACGCCGCCCAGGCGCGGGCCCCCATCGCTGGCCGCTGGCGCGCCTCGTCGCGGGCGTCCGCGGCGCGCACGAGGGCCTCCCGAAGCGCGGCTCGCTCGAAGCTGCGGAGGACGGAGGCGGAGGAGGGACGGAGGCGCGGAGCACTCGGCGGCCATTGGCGGCAGTTGCGACGGTGGCCTTCGGCGGCCCTTCGGCGGCGGCCTTCGGCCCTTCAGCGGCCATCGGCGGCGCCGCGGCGGCCATCGGCGGCCGCGGGCGGCCCTTCGGCCGCAACGCGGCTCCCGAGGCCACCGCGCAACCGTCGTCACCGTCGCCGCCGACGACGACGGCGCCTCAGCGATTCGTTCTGCTGTTTTTGTTTGTCCTGCTTTCGGGGGCGGGAAAAAAGCGAATCCATACCGCTACCCTTACTTACCTTTTGCACGTTTGCGGGCCTCCGGGGAAGCCTTAGCCGCCACGACTAGAGTTGCTTCAAGGTCCTGGCGACCAGGATGGACCCCCGGAGCGGTCGCTCGAGAGAGTGGCCGGGAGCGGTCCGGGCACCAGCCTATGAGCACACTTAACCAGCCTCGGATTGATCCCTATCCCTAAGATGGGCGAGCAAAAGGCGAGGACAATTTTAGGGATGTGCCCTCAGAAACTGAGGGGATCCTGAAGATCGGCATCGAGGTAAGGTGATGCCAACACATGGACAGGGATATGCTTCATATTGGTCAACACTTGGCCGCGGTGAGCGCTGCAGTCGTGTCGGGCTCGCCCTCGTGGCCCCCGTCTCCCTGGCTTGCTGGCCTCCGCGGGCCCTAGGCCCTAGGCGGGCTCGAATGTGTGCACCACGTCGCCCGGCCAGCCACGGAGCCGAGGAGCTCGGCGAAGAGGCTCGGCACGGACGGTGCCGGTTCCCACGGCTCGGGCGAGCCGTGGCGTCATGCCCCCGTCATGCGGTGTGCTGCCAATGGCGTTCGCGGAGGCAGCTGCCCGCCACACGCGCAGTCCTGCACTCCCCTGTGCGGGTCGTGTGTGGCGGTCCCCCCCCCGCCACCCCTCATTAGGCGCGCGCGCCTGAGCTGGGCACGGCGCCGCCGAGGCGCTTGACCGCTCGCTCTGCGCGCGCGTAGCAAAATAAACTGTGGCGTCATGCACACCCATCTCGTTTGGCACGCCAGACGACTTGGTTGGCATTTCGAGTTCCCCTTGCGGGCATGATTTGTATCCATATCCCGTGTGTCTTGGACTCTCTTGACAGGGGCGCCAGCGGGCTGAGGCGCACTGGCTCTCCTTACCATCGCTGTCACTCGTGACTTTCTTTGGACACAGCTCGAACGGACCGCGGGCAGGGTCTTGAGCACTGGGGTTTCAGGAAGGCTTCCAGGAGGCCTCAAAGCGGGGGCCTCCCCGGACATCGGAGGCCGTCCGGAGACCCCCGTAGATCGCCCCGGAGACTTTCAGCGGTCGTCCGTCGTCGTCCTTCATCGTCGTCGTCCTTCGTCGTCGCCCTTAGTCGTCGGCATTCGTCGTCTCTCGTTTGGTGTCGTCGTCATCGTCATCATCCGTCGTCATTTGACGTCATCGTCCTTCGTCGTCGTCGCTGACGTCGTCGTCGTGCTCGGCTCCAGAGGTGTTCGGTCGACCTCTTGAGGGGTCGGAGGCCTTTGGAGGGCCTCCTGTAGTCTGCGCATAGTCCCTGGAGAGATGATTCTCACCATGACGAGAAGTAAACTGCAGAGGAAGAGCGATGCTGTGAACATGAGGAGGATGAGGAGGTAACCGAGGTGGATAATGATGGGGAATGAGGTGGAGCAGGAGGGGCAGTTGGAGGAGGGGGGGGGGGAGGAGGCTTACGGTGATCCCCTGAGGTTTTCGAGTTCAGCCTGCTCCCCTGGCTGAGCGGGGGGAAACCGTGCGGCCTGAGAACTCGTGCCGTGTGGACTCCTCCCATGACTCCAGACCACGTGCGGAAATGAGGGAACGGAGGTGGGGCATAAAGTGAACTTCGGCAGTGTCCCTCTACAGGGGGGAGATTCAAAAACAACCAACAAATATTATGGGGACGATTGTCCTTCTATGTTTTAGCATGTGTCTGTATTTTCTGACTTTAGATTTTTCGCCAGCAATCCGCCCGTACGGGGACATGCCCGACCTAAGCATTAATGGATTCCCAAATCCCCCAGTTCCCCCAGCGGGGGCGCGGAGCCCCTCGCGCTGCGCGCGCCGCGCTCTGGCCTGGGGCGGCTGCCTTGCCCTAGGGGGGGGTGGCGCGGGGGTGCGACGCCGCGAGGGTGGGCGTGCATCGCCCCCCGGTGGGGCGCGACGCGCGAAGTCAGGCGACCCAGAGCCCCGCTACTCGCCCCTTGTCCCCAGACATGCTCGCGTCGCAAAAAGAACAGGACGGGAGGTGTAGTTTTCGGTTTCGGGGGGCCTTCGCCGAGCCCCGGGACTGTCAAAAAACGATTCAGGATGAAAGACCGGCCCCGGGGACAGGGTCGGGACTTTTGGGGACGCCCTCTTGAAACAATCAAGCCGTCGCATGTCTGGGTCCTCTCCATCGGCCCCCGTGCGCGCGAGGCTCCCGGCGAAGATGCGCCGCTCGACAGGAGCGCCGTTGCGCTGGCGGAGGATCGCGAGGGCCCGTTCCACGGCGCCGCCGTCGCGGTCGGCGCCGTGGTTTTTGTCGCCGTCGCTGTTGTCGCCGTTGTGGCCAAAGTCGTGGTTGTCGAGGCCGTGGTCTTTGTGCCGCCGTCGCCGTGGTGGTGGTCGTAGTCGATCGGGCGCCTCCGCGGTTGGTCGTGGCCGTGGTCGCCAGCGTCGTCGTGGTAGTCTGCCGCTGTGGTCGGCGTCGTGGTCGGCAGCGTGATTGTCGCGGTCGTGACCGCCGCCTTCGTCCTGGTGGTGGCGGTCGTCGTGCACGGGGGGGGGCGGAGGGGGGAGGGGGGCACGGTCAGGGGGTCGCACGGAAGGCGAGGGAGAAGAAACCCCTACACAGATCTGGCGCGCACTCTGTCTCAGGCGCCCTGGCCCTCGGAAGTGCTCCCCGCGCGAGAGGCAGGAGCGCTCTGTGTGGCAACTATAGTGTCCGCGCCCCGAGATCCAAGGCGAGCGAGATAGGGCTGCAATGATACCCGCGCCTAGCCCTTGCTGGCGCAAGCACGTCGATTACTCCGAACATTTGGTGTACGTGTCCGCCGATGATGGCAAGAGAGTTGTAGCATATCCCAGTGCCGTGCTGCACGAATGTTCCATGTGCGCTTCGGCTCCATGTGCATACGTGCTTGTGGCTGTATGTTCCGCAGCTGTACTCAGCGTCGTGTTCGACTACATGTAGATTTCGCGATTCTTCAGCGCTAGCTTCCGCAGTAGATGGGTGGATGTATTAGGTCAGTTTCGAAGGCGTCTGCATTGATATGACTTGCATGTGTCGGTAACGTTAGGCATGACGTCTACCGCCACTTTCACCGATATGCAACACATGTCGTATGCTGTGTCAGGTTATTTCCTTACGCGTAACGCTTGTTCTGAGTTAGTTAAACTATAGCATTCGAGAAGTTTTGGCATTGGTTGTAGCGCTCGTTGTTGAACGATGTGGGGTTGGATTCAGCTTTGCCAGCGTTACTCGAATATACGGTTCAGCTTTGCAATGATTGCATGCTGGGGTAAACCATTTCGGATGAGCGCGGCATGCTCTGCAAGCATCAGCTTGGCTTGGCCCTCGCCCGGCTCGGCCCAGCTTGCCGCATCATGGTTCAGCTCTGGCATCGGCTGTGCCACCAATTTCAGCTGCGGCGTCAGTCAGCCTTGGCGACGGCAGCGGTGACAACGATGTGGATGGCTGCATCAGCCGCGGCAGGACATCGAGCTGGCATTCGGCCACAGGCGAGGGTTCCACCGAGCCGCCGCGGGCCCTCTACCCGGATGTGCCGAGAGGGCCGCTCTTATGTCAGCACCGTATCAAGCGCGTCATGCCTTTTTCCACGGTGGACCAAATGTATTGGAAATATACAATGTGCATTGCAGCGCCGATCTTTCAGAACCCGCCCCATCTTCGTTTGAGCCCAGCATTGGCCCACATTTGGGAGCGTCGCGCAAGGCCCTTGCCCAACCTCCTCATCCGCCTCGGACCTCCGATGCGGCGCTACAGTGTCCAGCAAAAGTCTCGGTGATGCTTTTTCGGTGGCAAATCATGGGAGCCTGGTATACCCAAACTGTGTCCTTAGCGTCGAGTAGCTTCGATTAGCGTCTGGGAGTCGATGAGGTAGCGCCGATCTAGCGTCGGCTAGCGTCGATTAGCGCAGATTTAGCGTCAGTTAGCGTCGAATTAGCATCGATCAGCGTGCATTCTCAAGAGCCGACAAGATGGTATGGGAGGCTCCCGCGAGTTGCCACCGAAGTGTTGAGCTCCGTGCCAACGTGCCACGGACTGCGTGCTGCGCATGGGGGCAGCTAGAATTCAGGACTCCTCCCCCCCCCCGTGGCTCGTGGCAGGCAGGGTGGCCGCGAGGGGCCGCGAGTGCCTCCAGCGGCGGGGCGAGGGAGGAGGAGGGACGAGGGAGGAGGAACGAGGGAGGAGCTGGTGCTCTGGGTGTTGCTGTCTGGGTTGTTGCTGCCTGGGTTGCTGCTGTGTGGGAGGAGACGTTCTCGTCTGGGCTCCGCGCGTCCACGGCAGGGCCCTTTGCCCCAGCCTCCGGTCGGCCCGCCGGGCGCGCCGGGGGGCCTTGCGCCCGAGTGCCAGCTCGGCGTCCGCGGCAGGCCTCGCGGGATTTCCACGGGCCCAAGAGAATACGCACCACCACCACCACCACCACCACCACCACCACCACCACCTCCCTCACCCCTTCCCTCTCCCAGGAGGGGGAGAGGGAGGGGGTGAGAGAGGAGGGGGAGGGGGAGGGAGAGGGAGGGGGTGGGGGAGAGGGAGGAGGAAAGCGGAGGAGGTTGAGGCGGGGTGGAGGCGGTGGCGCTGCACACTCTTTGGAGGCCCGCGGCTTGGGGGCCCCGACCTCTTGTGCCAGCAGCCTGCTCTCCACCAGCGTGGCGGCTAATCGTCCCCCCGTGCCGTGCGGCGCGTGGCCGCTGCGCCACGCTCCCCCTGGGCGCACTGGGGCACGACGGCTCGCGCTCGCGCGGGGACCCTTCCGTCCGGACGCCCCGCTGCTCGTGGACTGGCGTGTCGGCCGTCGGTCGCAGGCTGCGGCTGACGGCCACGAGAGAGCCGGGGACAGGACCAGGACAGAAAGTCGCTCCAGAGCGTTCCGGAACGCTCTCAGAGCGTTCCGGAGCTTTCTCGGGGGCTCTGGGAGGGCCGCGGCGCCAGAGACGCCCTCCAGATCGGAGGGGGGAGATGCGACACCAACACCAAGGGGGCCACCACCTCCAGCGAGGAGGTCCACGATGCCTCCCCGAGCTGGGGATAGGGGATCTCTCCAGCGAGAGGGGGGTACCACACCACCAGGTAGACCCCCTTTGCTCTTTGCATCTCCTCGCCCTGGAGGTATTGGTGTCGCATTTCCTGTGGAGGAAGAGGAGAATGACGAGGAGGAGGAGAAGGAGGAGGAGGAGGAGGAGGAGGAGGAGGAGGAGGAGGAGGAGGAGGAGGAGGGGGGGGGAGGGGGGGGGGAGGGGGAGGGTGATGAGGAGGATGAGGAGGATGAGGAGGATGAGGAGGGGGAGGAGAAGGAGGAGGAGGAGGAGGAGGAGAAAGGGAGGAGGAGGAGAAAGGGGAGGATGAGGGAGGAGGGGGTGGCAGACCCACTGGGGCCCTCCAGAGCCGTCGCGGCCCTCGGTCCAGAGTTGCCCCCGTCCCGGCCTCGTCTCACACGACGGCCTACGGCGGGCGGCGGCAGCCCGTGTTGGCGGTCCCCGCAGCTGCGGCGGCCACGACGAGGATGCGGCGCTGCCGCAGCCCGAACACCCGCGCCCCTCCGCCGTTCTCTTGCAGAGTGCCTTCTCTGCCAGAGCCTCGAAACACGATTACCTCAAGTGCACGTCTCTGAGATCCTTGTGATTTGTTTGGCAGAGGGCAGTTTCCAAATTCTAGACCTACACAAATTTTCACATACACACATACATATGTGTGTATGTAAATAGTCATGCACGTTCGCATGTGTGCATACACGGGTATACTATGTATTCGTGTGTCCTGTATGTATGCGTGTATGGAATGTGTGCATGTCTGCATGAACGTCTGGATGGATCTATGTCTATAAGACAGTATGTGTGTGCATGAATGTAAGTATGTATATGTGCATGTGCATGTGCATGTGTATGTGTGTATGACAGCGTGTGTATGTATATGAATACATGCATGCATATATGCACATAGCTATGCATGTGGTTGTGTACGTGTGAATGTATATATGTATATATATGTGCATGTGTATACATATGTGTGTGCGCGTGTATGCATATGTGTATGCATGTATGTATATCTGACCTGTGTGTATGTGTGTATGCATGCATGTATGTAGACAATTGTGTATGCCTGTGTTATGTACGTGTGCAGGTATGTATGTATGTATATATGTATGCATGTATGTGTAACAGTGCATATGTACGTATGTGTGTGTATGTATGCATGCGTGCATGTGTACAGGTACATACGTGTGTATGTATGCATGTGCATACGACATTATATATGTACGCATGTCTGGATGCATGTCTGAACGTTTGTACGTGTGTACGCACGTATGCATGGCATGCATAGGAGTGTGTATGCTTGTGTGTATGTATGTTGCTATGTATGGGTGTATGTATGCATGTGTGTACATGTATGTAAGTCTGTAGGTAAGTCTGCATGCATGCATGCACATATACATATATATATATATATATATATATATACACGTTTGGAGGTGTGCATGTATTTGTGTATGTATGCACGCAAGTAAATTTGTATGTGTATATGTATGCATGTATGGATGCAGGTGTGTGTACATTTGTATGTTTGTGAATGTGTATGTCTATATGTATGTGTGTGTCTGTCAGTTGTAATGGGACGTCACTTGTGTCTCTTGTGTCTGTCCTGTTGCCCTTGCGCTCACCCCTCCCCCCTCCACCCCCGCCGCGCCCCCCGAGGTTGGGAGGCCCCTCTGGCAGGAAGGCCCCAGACGCCGAGGAGGGGCCCTCTCGCCTGCTTCTCAGAGCGCTCCAGCCCCGCAGAGCGGCGGGGAGGAGGAAGAGGAGCAGGAGGAGGAGGAGGAGGAGGAGGAGGAGGAGGAGGAGGAGGAGGAGGAGGAGGAGGATTTAGATGGAGGGAGGAGGGAGGAGGAAGAGGAGGTGGAGGAGGAGGAGGAGGAGTCGGAGGTGGAGGAGGAGGAGGGAGGAGGAAGGAGGAGGAGGAGGCGGAGGAGGAGGAGGAGGGAGGAAGAGAACGAGTAGGAGGAAGGGGGATGCGCTTAGGTCTCTGACGTTTTCGTTGCACTCGCCAGTCTTCCAGCCTCGGGGGTGATCCCCAGCAGCTGCGCCTCGCCGAGAGCGTTCCTAGGCTGCCCGGATCGTTCCGAACGGCCGCCGGGGCAGCGAGTTGTCCCGAAAAAGTGCCCTTGGAAAGGACCCAAGCATATGCATGGCAGTTGTGACAGTCGTCTTCGGTGTTGCCCCCTTTGCGGCCACGAAACGTGTGAGGTGTGTGTGTGTGTGTGTGTGTGTGTGCCGAAGTCGGTCAGGCGGACGCATGTGGACCCTGCCACCGGGGTCTTCGGTGGAGCTACCTGTGGGGCCACGAAACGTGTGAGGAGTGTGCCGAAATGGGCTGGGCGGAACCATGTCGACCCTGCCACTGGGGCTTTTCGTGGAGCTCCGTATCGGGCCACAACACGTGTGAGGGGTTTGCCGACATGGATCGTGCGGACGCACGCGGGCCCTGACACTGAGGCCTTCGGTGGAGCTCCCTGTTGGGCCACGAAGCGTGTGAGGGGTGTGCAGAAATGGGGGGGCGGACGCAGGTGGACCCTGCCACTGGGGCCCTCGGTGGAGCTCCCTATGGTGCCATGGAAAGTATGAGGGGTGAGTCGAAATGGGCCGGTTGGACGCATGTGGACCCTGCCACTGTGGCCATTGGCGGCGCTCCCAACGGGGCCACAACACTTGGTCGGGCGGACGCAGTTGGTCGGTCGGACGCATGGCGACCCTGCCACTGGGCCTTCGGTGGAGCTCCCTACGCAATGGGGCCACAACACGTGTGAGATGTGTGTGCCGACAGGGGTCGGGCGGACGCATGTGGGCCCTGCCACTGAGGCCTTCGGGGGGGGGTTCCCTACGGGGCAACGGATCGTGTGAGGGGTGTGCTGGAATATTCCTGATGATGCTGATGGTTATGATGATGCTGATGTTTATGATGATGACAATGCTGATGATGATGATGATGATGATGATGATGATGATGATGATGATGATGATGATGATTACGATGATGATGATGATGCTGATGATGATGATGATGATGATGACGATGCTGATGATGATGATGATGGTGATCATGATGATCATGAGGCTGATGCTGATGCTGATGCTGATGCTGATGATGATGATTACGATGATGATGATGCTGATGATGCTGATGATGCTGATGCTGATGCTTATAATGATGATGATGCTGATGCTGATTGTGGTGATGATGGTAATGGTGATGACGCTGATGCTCATGCTGGTGCCGATGCTGATGATTGCGATGCTGATGATGATTATAATGCTGACAATGCTGATGATGATTATGATTAGGATGATGGTGAGGACGATGACGATGGAGACGATGCTGCTGATGATGATGATGATCATCATCATGCTGATAGTGACGATGGTGATAAATGTTGTTGATTGTGGTAGTTGTGATGATATACGTGATGATGAATCTGTTGGTTATGATAAGCATGATCCGTATGATTATGACGATGCTGATGATGCTGGTCATGGTGATGATGATGATGATGCTCATGATGATGGTGATGATAATATTGCTCAGTTTGACGGTGATGATGATAAGCGTGATGATGATGATGGGAATGATTATGGTGATGGTAATGATGATGGTGATGACGACGGTGGTGTTGGTGAGAACGGTGGTGCTGATGATGATGATGCTGATACTGATGCGGCTGGTGCTGATGCTGATACTGATGCGTGTGATTATGATGATGATCCGGGTGAGTATGCTGGTGGTGGTGACGATGATGATGATGATGATGATGATGATGATGATGTTGATGTTGAGGTCGAGGTTGGTGATGTTGATGATGCTGCTGATGATGACGACGATGGTGATGCTGATGGTGATGGTGATGATGATGACGATGTAGATGACCATGATTAAAATGTATTGGCGATGGTGAGGTTATTGGTGGTAATGATGATGATGCTGATGATGATGATGGTGGTGGTGATTCTGATGGTGATGATGATGAATGGGGAGGGTGGCGGAGGAGGAGGAGGTGGAAGAGTGAGGAAGGAACGCGGGGCGCTGTCTCTTCAAAATCTCAGGCGGGGACGCATCGACCCACAAGCCCTGATTCATCGTTCACCGGAGCCTGATAGCCCACCCCGCCCTGGATCGTGCGGATGTGGTATCGGTGGCCTATCGCCGATCTGTCGGCGATGCATATCGCAAGTCCCAGTCTATGCGGCTCCCCCTGAGCCAGTCCACTACTGAAGCTTCCCTCCCTGACTTCCTTCCCCTCGGCGTCTCGTGCATCTATCTGCACACGCGTTTCTGGCAAGCCATACCTCTGCATTCTTACTATGGCACGCCTCCAGAAAAGGGCCTCGCACTCGAGCGCCACCGGAGTTGATCAACCGGGGGCGGCAACCGTCGGCGGAAGCAACACGGGGGCGGCAACCGTCGGCGGAAGGCAGCTGCAGTAAAGATCGCCCCCAAAGAGATTACACCTTTGTGGGGGTTCAGTGCTTCTGCGACGGACCATCTCAAGCATCGCTTCGCATCATGTGCCTGCGGGATTCCCACGGGGCGGCACGCGTCATATACGTGTATATATGTATATGTAATCACATAGGTACATGCATCTGATCACTGCTGGAAGCTTTGAGCGCAGGGATCCTCATTACGAAAATTGTGTCGCCTTGGAGTGAAGACAGGTCAGCCACAGCTGGGTTTGAACATCGAAGTGCTAAGTTTTGGTGGTTTACGGTCGTCTGTCTTGTTGGTGGCCTCCTATGGGGCTCCTCGTCGCCACGGCTGGTTTCTCCTCGAAACCTTGGTCAAAGCGCAAGATGCCAAGATCAGAATAACAATCAGTATAGCATCAGATAAGTTCTTTCTCTTCGTCCGATCTCAACGCGAGAGCGCGAGGCGTGATCCGCAGGGAACACCAGGACGCTTGGGGCATGTCGGCCCCAGTGTGCAGGGTGTGCGAGGCGGATCGGGAGCCTTGATGCCCTTGTCTAGAATTTGGGCGGCTCCGCCAGCTGAAGCCGGAAGTAAATGCAGCCATCCCAACAGATCAGAGTGAATGGGCCGAACGGTCATTCATTGTCGTTGGGCGTGTGGTTGAAGTGAGGTTCTGCGGTGCGGATTGTTGTTCTTATTGTTGTTGAATTCTCAGGTCTGAAGAACAATTGCTGATGATTCCCCCACGGTAACCATTGTATTGTTCAATTTTAGGTGCTCCTCCCAGGGCTCGCAGTTCGTTCTTTACAAGGATAAGCTGGGTGTCACCAAATTGAGCCCATGTCTCCCGAGTTACAGCAACAACGGCTGCCGCCTGCCACTTCCTCGCAATTTGTTTCCGAATCGCGCTCTCGCGCGGGACGTCCCCACACTTTATGCAGAAATCGCGCTCTCGCGTGGGACGGCCTCCCAATTTATTCGGACGGCGCGCCCTCGACGCTCCAAAATCGCGCTCTCGCTTCAACTTCTCCCAAGATTTACGTGGGACTCGCGATATCGCTCGAGACTTCCTCACGATCCATGCAGGACGCACACTTCAGCAACCCGCCTGCTAGACCTGGGCTCCTGGGCCCGCCTTCCCGACCCGGCCGCTGGGGTCTATCCACCCGGTCTGCCCTTCAAGTTCTGCCACGTGTTTTTTAGTCTTGCCCCCTTTTCCAGCTAATTTCTCTCGTGGTCCATCCTTCTCCATCCCCCTTCCATCCGTCTTCTTTCCCCCTGTTGTAGGGGCTGCACTGCATGCACGTGGCAGGTAAGAAAGATATACCCCCCAAGAGAGGTATGATCGAGCAACGAAGAGGGCGGGTACCGAGGGTTTGGGACATACGTGTTGAATGGCACGCGAGGCGATACAAGCTAACACTCTTAAATTGATTGCTGTTGTTGGTAGTTAGTGTTGATTGTTCTTTGTTGTCGTCGTCCCCCCCGCGACTCGGCCCCCCCGACCTGGCCTGCGACCCGCCCGCGACCCGGCCCGCGACCCACCCGCGACCCGCCCGCGACCCATTTGCGACCCACCCCGCGACCCACCCGCGATCCACCCGCGAGCCACATCGCGACCCACCCACATTGTTTAATCGAAGAAATCTGCGCCTGCGGCGGGCAAGTTGCATCATTTGCGAAAATCTAGCGCCTGCGGCGGGCTCCTTCAGAGCCCCGCGCCTCGCAGACTGCAGACGGCCCCGCCGCGTCCGCACTCTTATCCGCAACTGCGGTGTGCTACGCAAGAGGTGTTTGATTTTGGTGGGGTCAGAGTTTCTGAAGCCCGCTGGCTCGATACTTCTCGAGTCGCTTGTCACTTCCACTGGCGAGGGCATGTTGTCTGGATCCTGGATCATCGCCGTAAGGTATTTCGCCCCAGACGGCAATTTGTTTTCCTCGACGGCGGCGGGTACTGATGTGTCTGGGGGAGGCGCCGGCGCCGCTGCGAGAGGGCAGCCAGGCAGAAGCGCCTGAGGGACGGTCGCGGATGTTCGTTTCCTTGCTTTTTTTGGTGGACTCGGTTTTGTGCTCGTTCGATGTGGTATCCGGGGTGTACACCAAAGGGTGCCTTATGGTATGGCTGTTTTGGTATACCCGTGTGTTTTTCCGATTGAACTCGGGTACGTCGCCAGGTAGCTTCGCCCGGTGGCGCGCTAGACGGCTCCTCGGCTCGCCCCGGGGGCCGCGACCTGGCGGGTTGTCGCCCCCGTCTTGCAGTTCTTGGCGTTTGCTCC